TCTCTCTCTCCTCTCTCTCTCTCTCTCTCTCTCTCTCTCCCTCTCTGTCACTCCCTTTCTTTCTCCTCTGTCTCGCTCACTCTCAGTCGCTCTCACTCGCTCTCCATGAAATGATAATAATTAGGTTGAAAGGAGGGGGGAAGGGGGGAGGGAGGGCACACATCAAATATTGCTCGTTGCTTTCCCTCTCCGTACTCAGTTCGTAGGTGGCCCTCGACCACCCACGAAACGAGTGTCCTTTAATTACAGTAATGAGATATCATAACAGAATAACAGTAGGAGGAGCAGAAGGCTATGGAATCAACCATTGCTTGGAACCGTCAGCATCTACACACTTCGAGATGTGCTTCTTCAGGGGACGGAGCGCTTATGGGGATGCCCTTTGTGCAGTAATGTCGGTCCTTCACACAAGTAAACAAGTAAACAAGATATCATAACATTTCTATAGCACTCAAACCTGATAAAAGAATAGAACAGGCTCTGGGTTCTTAGTGTTTTATATAGCCAAATAGTAACAAATAAAGAGTACTTTGTGTCCTGATTTAGAATATAGATATTGTATTAAATTTTTACAAGACAACAGGACTTGAGCCGGCTTTTAAACGCTTTAATTATTCTTTGAGGGCGCATGATTATTCTGCAACAATGCTCTTGAAGCGACCTTGTTTTGGGGGCACTTTTTTTTAAAAAAAGCCTACCTTCATTATTGTTTATACTGTGATAAGCACATCGTTATCTACTGTGCTGTGATAGTATGCATGTTTGCTTGTATGATAGTGTTAAGCTAAAGAGCGTTTGAATGGCAAGTTCATTCACTTGCACCTTTGTTTTAATATGAAGATATTTTAAAGCACCCAAAAGTACATTGTTCGCGAATAGGCGCTGTAGAAATCATCTGCATTATTACTGTCTTTATTTTTGTTCATTTGGATTTTTCAGCTTTGTTTTCTGTATTGTAAACATAAAAGGCAGGCATCAATGTGCATAATATCATGAAATGTGCAAATGGTGTTTCTGATTTTTTCCTTCTTTATGAATGTTCAAAATGTGCTGGGCATTGCCTTTGGTCTCCTCATGATTGGAGATTTATATAATATTATGTGTCCCCTACACCCTTGAATAGTTGGGGGGGGGGGGGTCTGTTTGGTTTGTCGTCGGTTTTGTTTTGTTTTTTTGTTTTTTTTTGGCCTTTTAGGTTTATTTGTTTTCATTGGGGGTGTTGTTATTTATTCTATTTTCTTTTTAATTTATGTTCTTAAAGAGTTGAAAGGGGTTTGATTTCTCTTGTATCATATCATTGCAGGCAGTGCGTTCCAGACATAACAAATAAACACTCCCGAAGCCCCACAATGCTAGTACAGTCTTTTGAATGACCTATATATGTCTAAGAAGCCGGTCACTCTCATTTTAAAAAAATATTTTTTGTCTTTGTTTCATCAGATATATATTGAGTCCCGTTTTTCTCTATTGGGTTACCTCCTTATGTGCGAGTATTGATGGAGCAATTGAGCGCATCGAGTGAGTGAGAGCGTCAGAATAGAATACGTTGATTGTTTCCACCCTTCTTCTTCTTCTTCTTCTGTTTTCTTCTTTTTTGTCTCTTGAGTTACCTCTTTTTGTGCGAGTATCGATTGGGTGATTGAGTAAATGAGAGCGGCAGGATGTGATGTGTTGATTTTTCCCACCCCGATCCATCTTTATACATTCCGTTTTCAGCTATCTATTCATAACACCACAGCATTTCTTTTTTGTTCACTCCCCTTTACGAAGGTGTCATTTGTCAACGAACTCAAGTACACGAAATAGGAACAATTAACTTTTTTTTTAAACCTTGGAAGGTCGTGGTATAGTAAACGTACTGTTCACCGCTGCTATCTCTCCTTTTTTTTCTTACTCAAAGATTTGCGTTTATCTTCTATCTTCACATTGATTTCCCAATTCCTAGCCAATATGTGTACCCAGTGTCCCGTGCCTCGGCTTCTCCTTCAGCACATAGTGCAGGAAGAACCAGGAAATCGTAACAAGCCGTCCTGTGTTTCCACAACAAACAATACATTCGCACGGGTTCCGATGAGGAAAAGGAAGATCAAGTACAATTCTGGAGTACAGTTGAACCTGCCCAAGGTGACCATCCATTTTCGAGGAGGAAAGTGGTCGTCTTTGATGATTGATCTTCTTGGACAAAGTTATCATATGTTTTAGTAGAGGTTTTACGGAGCTCGCAACTGCATAAGCGCATATAAGCCCCAGAAGATTAGGTGTTACAAGAGAGTAACAAACTTAAAAAAGAAGAAGGGGAGATAAGGACGATAGATGTTTGATAGGAAAGAAGGAGCAAACCATACCAGAGCACCCGCCTACCACCCTCAAGGTTATTATAATATCATAGTAAAAATATAAGTGGGGAAATGGGGAGTGCTCATTTATACTTGTGATTGTTTTGGACAGGTGATCGTTAGAGCATGTGACCCAGTGCGCACATCCAGGGTCTCCATTCTCCAGTGGGCTACACTCGGGTTGCTCTGGCGTCATGTAGAAGATGTTTTCAATTATAAACGCGAGGTAGAAATTGTTTTTGTAGAGTAGTGCTTATGATGTCTGAACCATGACTATTCACATACTTTTTTTTGGTTTCATCAAATAATTATTCGCGGGTGGGGGGGGAGTAGGGGGATTTTAATTCCTTTTGATTCAGACTTCAAGTGTCCACAAGACATCACAATAAGCTCATAACCTATTCAAATCGGGAAGAGACCCTTCTAAAACAAAACCAAAAAGAAACCAAAAAGAACCCCCTGAAAAACAAACTCAACCATATCATAAACGACTTTTTAAAGATAATGAAAGAGTTTTCCGCCCACATCGACACGTCTAAGATTATTTAGGAGTCGGGCTTCGAACGTGCCTGACAGGACCATCCCTAGCTGAGAGGGATACAATGTCCCAACAGAAAGATAGAGGAACAATATGTATTTGAAACAATCACCGATATTAACTACTCCC